AACAGCTACTTCCAGTTTGTCGACTCTTTACAATAGCCGATATCCGTTGACCTGGATGAGTATCAAACCTATGAACGTCATTGGCAGTTCACTTTCCGTTCGGTCATTAGTCAGCATGAGAATTCATTCCTCTAATAAATTATTCCTGTTGCTGGAGAATGTTTTTAAGTTGATCAAACGTTTTCCAATTTGTTCTACTCTTTCCACACAGTGCGCGGTACATAAGCATATTATTCTAGCTTAAATAAATTGATAAATTATCGGGCTGTGAACAAGGATGATTTAGCTACCTCCACATTGGTCGTCAGTGGTAAAGTTGAACGTTGTATTAGAGAAAAATCTTGTGAAATCTGGTTGGCAGTCAACTTGGTGGGCTGCATTCTAAAGTGACTGTCTACAGTGCTCCAAATTGAAGAAGGGCAAATGCAGCGTAGACGAGATGAAAGTGCAATATCTGTATGAAGCCTGTGAATCATTTTAATAAATAAATTCTAGTTATGTTTTCAATTGGGACTTTGTTATCTGACAACTGATGCACAAACGACCATCGTCAAAATCGCAAAATCGTACATTTGAATGGTATGTGGCTAGTGAAAGCAAAGATATAGGTGGATATTATGACATATATGTTGCCTCTGATGTGGGGCAATGTCATGTTCAATCCCGTGAATGAGACTGGGTAAACGAAGCATTGAGAGGGACAAATGTGATGAAAATCAGGATGTTGCACGAGTTTGGTCAATACTTGTACAATGCAATAATACCATACCATACCATATCATACCATACAATACAATACAATACAATATACGCGACTTTCCAACTTCTGTGAAACGTCACATCGTTGCCAAAGGTATTTTAGTCCGGCTTGTTTCTTGAGTCTTGAAAATGCGGGCGCTTGTCTCCTTTGGTGTGCTACCGTCGTAGGTCACGGAGCTACCGAAGTAAGAGAAGCAGGCAACTTCAGCTATCTCCCGACCGTCTATATAGTTTCAGGGTGGAACTGAATGACACTCGCCTTGCAGCACCACTTTGTACTTTGAAGGTGCAAAGCGCATGCCGAATGGAGCAACGGAATTTTCTAGCCTATCGAGGGTGCTTTACACATTCTCTATACATTTAAACAGGTCAACAATGTCGTCAGCCTGCTCCGAATCGCGCAGCTTCGATCCAGCTGCCCATTCAATACCGAAATTTTGGAGACCACTAAGTGCGTTCTCCGGAGCAGGAAGAATAAAACAGGGCGCGCTTGACGAACACCACTTCCATAGTTTCGAACGTCTGGCCGAAGATCATTAGGCTATCAGACGTATACGAGTAGAGTGACCCCAATAGGACGGCGGGGTGGGGTGGGAAATTGAATGAAACAACTGAAGCGCTGTGACACGTGGAATGATCTGTTTCTATTTTCGCATTTGTTGAGATACAATGAAT